GACAACGATATCATGGAAATGCCCAGGCTCGAACCGGAGTAAGGGTTTAGGGTTTAGGGTTTAGGGTTTATAACCTAGGATTCAGGGCTTAGGGTTTAGGGTTTATGAGTCGGCTGGGTTGCGTCTGAGCTGCAGAGAGGATCGAGATTCCTTTGAAAGGCCTCTGGGGGTAGTTGAACAGGCGCTGCTCCTCGCGAAATCCCGAGCTATTATTGAAGGCAATCCATGTAAGGGTTTATTGTCTAGGGTTTAGGGTTTAGGGTTTAAGGATTTAGGGTTTACTGCCTAGGGTTATGGGATTAGGGGTTAGTATCCAGGCTATAGGGTTTCTGTCATACGTCTAAACCCTTGTTCCTTACGCTCTGCAGTGGGCTCGGGGCACCACTACAGTAGAGAACGGGATCTAGGGTTAAGGGTTTAGGGTTTAGGGTTTGGCATTGATGTGGTTTGCTGTAAAGGCAACGACCCGTTGGCCTTGGAGGAGGTTGGGGCTGTGGTGTCTCGCGCATTGGTGTTGCCCCCTCCAACAGCCTGCAGCAGCAGCAGCAGCAGCAGCAGCAGCAGCAGTAGCAAGGCATATTATCAGCGTCGTTTGGAGGTGTTGCAGCAGCAACCCGCGGCGTTGTTTGCTGCTGAACCCGAGTGTATGGTATCAGCCCCCGATTGGGCTGTCTTCTCCTCAGGACTGCTGCTGCGGTGTCGCGCAGAATTCCACAGAGTTAAGACAGTAGAGAGAGCGGTGCTGCAGCTGCATGCGTTGAGGGAACAACTCGATGGTAACCAGATCTAAACCCTAAACCCTAAACCCTTATAACCCGAAATCTGCAAGCATGCATCTCCTATGGGCTGAGGGTTCAGACCTTTGGATGAGGTTATGGGTTCTAGATGCAGGCGTAGGACTACGCCACGGTAGTCAGGGCTGAGGATTCATGGCTCAGGGTTTAGGGTTTAGAGTTTAGGGTTTAGAGTTTAGGGTTTAGAGTTTAGGGTTTAGGGTTTGTGTTGCAGATGCGGACCCTCCTGCTTGCTTCCGACTCTTCGGTTTGCTTTTCCATGCTGACCTCCTCACTTGGTGGGAGCTGCAGCGCGAAGTTGGTGAGGAAGAAACCCTAGGGTTTAGGGTTTATAGTTTAGGGTTTACCGTTTAGAATGTGCCGTAGAAACAGCTATGCATGCCTTCCCAGGTGCACGAGATCAGCGTTTAGCGTTTAGGGTTTAGGGTTTAGTGTCTGAAATCGGATGCTGGTGCGCTGTCTGCAGCTGTACGAATGATGCGTATCGGCGCAACTATCACGGTGAGGGTCTAGGGTTTAAGGTTTAGAGTTTAGGGTTTAAGGTTTAGTGTGTAGGGTTTACGGTTTACACTGAGGGCTACACTTTAGGCTTATGCGGCTGCCTATACACTTTGACGAAGACCATTGGCAGCGTGTTGTCTGTTTTCACTGGCCAGCTTCAGCAAGACGACTTATATTCAGTGGTTTAGGGTTTTGAATTAGGGTTTAGGGTTTAGGGTTTAGGGTTTGGGGTTTGTGACTGCAGGCTGCTGAGAAGTTCACAGAGCTGCAGATGTGGGAGGAGGCTGCCGATTGCCTTGTTGCCGCTGACCGGCGAGCGGATGCTAGAGCCCTTGTAAACCTTAAACCCTCAACCCTAAACCCTAGACCTTCACCTCAGATTCGTAGCAGTCTAGGAGGAGCAGCGCTATGAACGTTCAGCCTCAGCCTGTTACCCGTTTTTGCAACCCCTTAGTTCATCGGTGTATTGGGATCAAGGGTTTAGCGTGTAGCGTTTAGGGTTTAGGGTTTGTGTTCTTCAGCTGGAGGAGCAGATCGCAGCCCGGCCAACTCCTCACCTTCTTTGCACGCTGGCGGATTTAGAAGTCCCGGAAAACGCCAAGAGAGCGGAAGACCTGTACAAGGAAGCATGGTAAGCAGTTAGGCATTCAAGGGTTTAGGGTTTGGTGTCTAATGTTTCCTGCCTAGGGTTTCGAACTGCGCTGGCGAGAACTGCGTAAGTGGCGAATATCATGTCTGGGTTTCAGGGTTTTGCGTGAGGGTTTTAGGATATTCGGATAGTGGTGTAGGGTCTTGAGCTGGGGGTTTAGGACTTTGACGGTCTAGGGAACACCGTTTAGGGTTTAGTGTCGAAGGTTTGGGGTCTAGTGTTCGGGTTTGAGCTTCACCTGTTGGGGTTCCCTGTTGGTCCCTGCGTGTTTATCTTGAATTTCGGGGAATATGTCTCCTGACGTTGAGACCACTGAGTTGTATTCGTTTATTTGTTGCATTTCAGTGTTCTAGCGTTATATTTCATCCTCCATGTCCTGCGTTTCTATGCTTATGTGTTGTATTTAAGTCTTTGTGTGTTGTGTTTCAGTGCGTATGTGCCGTGCTCCAGTGTTTAGGTGTTGTATTTCAGTGTTTGTGAGTTGTTTTCCATCGTTTATGCGTTGTATGTCGGTGCTTAGATGTTGTATTTCAGTGCTTCGGTGCTGTATTTCAGTGCTTCGCTGTTGTATTTCAGTGTTTCGGTGTTGTACTGTAGTGTTGACGTGGGCGCCGTATTTCAGTGTTTCGCTGTTGATTTTCAGTGTTTGTGTGTTGAATTTCATCGTTGAGGTGTTGTAATTTGGTGTTTAGGTGTTGCGTGGCGGTGCTTAGATTTCGCGTTTCAGTGTTTAGGGGTTTCATATCAGTGTTTAAGTGCTGCATTTCAGTGTCTAGGTGTTGTACTTCAGTGTTGATGTGTTGTACTGCAGTGTTGATGTGTTGTATTTCAGTGTTCAGGTGTTGTATTT